ATACCAAAAAAATGCATACATGTAAAAACATGAAATTTGAATAAGGTACATAGTTTACACTCGATTTTAGCCAAAAGGCAAGAAGCCTTTTGTATGAATGAATGAATAAGGGACATAGTTTGGTTAATAGTATTGTACCATATCTATTTCCTGGTTTGTAGAATGAATTATGGTTATTTACAATGTTTCATTGGGAAAGATGGATGAAAAATACACAGAGACTCTCTACTATGTTTGGTAACTTCTTGAGATTCTTTCCTTTTAAGATTTATTTATTTGAGAGAAGAAAGAGAGAGAACATGAGTGGGGAGAGAGGCAGAGGGAGAGAGAGAAGCAGACTCCCCCCTGAGCAGGAAGCCTGACGTGGGGCTCGATCCCAGGACCCTGAGGTCATGAGCAGAGCTGAAGGCAGATGCTTAACTGACTGAGCCACCCAGGCGCCCCTCTAAGTGCAGATTTGTTGATGGCATTACTGTTGCCTAACAATGTCCTTATTCCACTTTATTCCTGAAGAATGTTTTCCTCTGGATATGGAATTCTGTGCTGGCAGTGCTCTACTTCCAGCGTATTAAAGATTTCATCCCGGTGATTTCTTGTTTCTGTCCTTCTGATTGAGGATTCAGCTGCCAGTCAGACACTCGTTTACAACTATTATGTTTGTTGTCTTCTGGTTACTTTTAACATTTTATCACTGTCTTGGACTCTCTGAAATTTCACTGCAATGTTGGATTTGAAATTTTGTCTTGCTTGGGATTTTTTCAAGCTTCTTGAAACTCTGAGTTGATGATTTCCATTGGTACTGAAAAGCTCTTGGCCCTAAAATTCACACAATGGAATATGACATAGAAAAAGATGTGAGGCTTCCTACAAGAACATGAACAATTCCTAGGATGTGTACCGTTTGATTCCATTTATATCAATATTCAAAAACAAAAATATAGTGTGGTGGGCACCTGGGTGGCTCAGTCGGTTAAGTGTCTGCCTTTAGCTCAAGTTATGATCCCAGGGTCCTGGGATGGAGCCCTGCGTTGGGCTCCCTGCTCAGTGGGGAGCCTGCTTCTCCCTCTCCCTCTGTCCACCTGCTCGTGCTCTCCCTCTCAAATAAATAAATAAAATCTTAAAAAAATATATAGTGTGATAAAACTATAAAACCAAACAATGGTTAAGTTCCATAAGAGAAAGGATGTTTCCCACTAGATGAGGAAAAAGGAGAATGTAGTTAAGAAGGAGCCCTCGGTGTGAGGAGTTTTCTGTGGTTTTGGCAATATTCGATTTCATAACCTGGTTCATGGTCAATGATTTAAGATATGCACTTATGTTTTTGACAGTTTTTGGTACGTGTATTATTTTTCATCAGTATAAAATAGAGACTCTACACACATACACACTCTTTCTCACTCGTTCTCTCTCTCTCTCTCACACACACACACACACACACATACAGGAAATAAGGGGGAAATCTTTGGCCAACCAGTCAGGAACAGTCTCTGAACCCAGAGAGATTATTTTTGTAACCTTAAGAATTCATTTAAATAGTGTATCGCAAACAAAGCAATACAGAGAGCTTTGTGTCACCATGGGAGTGCCTGAGGTTTTGCAAAAAGGTCTCTAAGCATGGCCGCTGTGTTCTGGTGACTTTCCCATGGAAAGCACACAAGAGGATTCCTTAATTTCTCCTTGGCTGAGGTCACCCTTTGAGTGAGTTCTCCCGGTGAAAGATAGGTTTGTTGAAACAGCGTATTTAAATTAGAGGGTTTGTTTTTTTTTTAAAGCTGTAAACCATAAGAGAAAAAAATGGGTAGATGAGTGGTTATGTCTGCTCCCTTGGGTCCTAGCCTTGCCTTTTTAGTCATGTCAATGTCCACACTCCCTTTTCCATCATAGGAGGGAACCATCTAGGGAACTGTGGACATATTGAACAATTCTGAGAGTCCCAGGAAATCCTTGGGGATCATGAGTCTCATGATAGAAAAGAATACACACGTAAAGTCTCCCCAGATACACTCCTTTTATGTTCTTTCTTGGACCTGCTCATAGTGCCTGTTCCTGTTTTCACATCTTTCCATAGAGTAGAACGTCTTTGATTTCATCTCGTCTCAGTTACCCAAGGCTGTGCTGGTCACTGGCCTGAAGAAAAAGAGACAGGCTGTTCTGATCGGACCATTTTCCCAAACGCTGATTTAGAAGAAACTGTCTTGTCCCTGCTAGATCACTGGAACAAGTCCTGTGGGTGCTGGGAAGAGCCCAGGACCCTGAGGCCATTGGTGCTACACCAGAATAGTAATTGGAATTCTTCATTTTGTTGAGACGCCTCTGTGTGGGATCTGCCTCTGTGGAGATCTCATTCCTTAGACTCTGGCGGTATTCACCTGCGGTCCCATGAACCTCTTCAAAAAGGCCATTATAGAGTGCCTGGGTGGCTCAGTTGGTTAAGCAACTGCCTTAGGCTCAGCTCATGATCCTGGAGTCCTAGGATCGAGTCCTAGGCTCCCTGGGCTCGCAGCTCCATGGGGAGTTTGCTTCTCCCTCTGACCTTTTCCCCTCTCATGCTCTCTCTCTCAAATAAATAAGTGAAATCTTTAAAAAAATAAAATATATTTTAAAAAGTCGTTATGTGAAAATATCTTAATTACCAGTGATTTTCTGGATATTGTGGCTGTATTCGCTGTGCAGAGCAGATCCATTTCTTTTAAAAATAGTGGTAACTTGGGGGACCTGGGTGGCTCAGTGGGTTAAGCGTCAGACTCTTGATTTCTGCCTAGATTGTGATCTCAGGGTCCTGGGGTGGAACCTCATGTCAGGCTCTGCACTCAGTGGTGGGGGGTCTGCTTTGGGATTCTCTCTCTCACTCTGCCCCTCCCCCTCCTCATGCACGCACGTGCTCGCTCTCTCTATATAAACAAATCTTAAAATCTTAATCTTAAAAAAATAAAAATAATGATGCCTTAGAATTCAAAAAACATCATTTTGTTTTTTCTGACTTACATGAAAACATTGGAGAGGCAAACCAAAAATGCTAGTCCATAATCAAAACAGCTTCTAACCAGACACATAAAGACACAATTAGGCACCTACCTTGTCACTCTCAGAGTTGAGTGGTTGGGCTACTCTTCTGGACTAACAGGTGGGCCCCCAGAAGTCTGTGGTGGTTAGAAGGGAGAGCGTCATGAGCAAGGGATTGTGACAGACTTACATAAACCTTAGGGCAATCGGCAAAAGGGATTCATTCCTGAATACTGTTAAGTCACAGGTCTGAAATATATGACATAATGTGAATTATGTGGGCTGCTTTAAGAGGATCAGAAAAGAACTAGGGTCACTAAGAAAAGGAAAGAGGGGGCCCAGTAAGAAAATCAGATATCATGGGCTATTCACGCTGGAAGGATGATTTTGAGGAGACTTTCGGAGATAAGTCAATAAAATAGGGTTTGGCTGTAAGCTAAGAGTCCAGGTGGATCACGAAGGCTCGGAAAGGAAAATTCTGCTTGAGGAGAAGTGGTAGAACCGTAGCACAGGTGTGTCATCAGGAGAAGAGACGGTTTCTGAGACGGAGGAGGAAGAAAGCATTTCCTCCTTTCTCATGGGCTGCCATTAGCCAAACAATGAAATATGGAATTCCTAGTAGGTAAAGAAGGGAGAGCTCAAAAGGTCAGAGAAAGGAATGTAAAGACGCAAGAGAAGATGCTGAATTCCAGGGCAATGGGAGGAGGGAAAGGGAAAGATCTGTTCGTAAATATGCAGAACACAAGAATCAGTGATGTCGTTTTTGTGTGTGTTTGTGTGTGTGTGTGTGTGTGTGTGTTTGTGTGTAAGAAACACATAAATACTTAATGGTCTTATTTCAAAGCTTCATCAGGGTTCCAGGTGCCCCGGGGAAGCGGTAAACTAGTTACACTAATAACCTCCAATATGTCATGGGGAAAATCTTCACACACACACGTCACTCTTACTGTCCCCTATGTCTTCAGCTAACATCTGGCTTAGAACACGACCCCTCTTTGCTTCTGTAGCCCTAAATTGTGCCCCATTGCAGTCTGCTTCCTTCTGGTTGCTGTTTCTCTCCCTCTATTGTTTTGCCCTAAGCACGGGCACAGATGTTTCCCTCAATTCCTTGCGATGACAGCAGAGACGAGGCTCCCACCTGTTAAAGGTGTAAGAATAACTGAAGGAAACTACCAGAAAACTTAGAACGAGATACTAGGTGTGGCTGTTCCTAGAATCCACCAGCTCAATCCCCTCCATGGGACTTGTACCTCCAGCCACCTCTCTGACCGAATACCTAGTCCTTCTCAGAGTTGGGGTAACCCCCGCCCCCCAGTACCTGGCCTGACACCAAGTGGGAAGGACCAGCTTCCCTGGCTCCAGGAGGAATCTCAGACCTCTGTTTCCTAACAAAACCTCTCTCAGTCCCTGGGAAACTTTAGGATGGGAAGCAGATTCCTCCTCAGCTCTTATGGCCAGGGTCTGCTTTGTTCCAGGGTGACTGAGTATGAAACTGGGAATCCTCTGTCAGTGTCCCAGAGTCTAACCTCCCACCTCTCTTCTCCACTCCTCATCTCTACGCCTTTTTAAGGGTCTATGCTCAATGCCCTTTCTGCATTTCCATGATTTGCATTCATAGACTCTTTTCAGCTTTAATGAGCACCTTGGCATAGGTGACTCTGAATCGTACCCACCTAGCTCTGACTTACCCTCATATTTTCCCACAGTGTGGTATCATGAAAAAAGGAAAAAAAAACCCCACAGAACATGGCATCAACCATCTTGGGTGGTCAGACTGGAATAAATCAGGTCCAGGGAACTTTTGGGTGCCTTTTTCCCCCAGTTCTTCAAAAAGAGAAACTACAGAGTCACTGGTTTCCCTAGGGGTGGAGTATGCCTTTCCAGCACCTTCCACAGTGTCCCCACCCCTAAGCCCTCCCGGGGAAGCCCAGCCTGGCAGAGGCATAAATAGGCACCTGGCAGCTTCCTGCCCTAACCCACTCCTTTCTCTTTTCAAAATGGACAAGCCCCTGCTTTTGGGACTCTCCATCCTGCTTGGCTGCGTTAGGAGTGAGTCTCTGGGGTTGGCGGTTGGTGTGGTATGTCCAGGGTAGGGAACAGGTTAGAGCTCCCGTGACGGAGGGAGGGGTTCTGAAGGGAGCCACGTGATCGCTCTAATACCATGCGTTTCACCTCCAATGCATCACATACCTGGGACCTTCACCAGAGGCTTCATCTCCCCCTTAGAGGCGGAAATAGGGGGATTAGAAAGGAATTGAGAAGATTTTCATGGAAGCTCTGAGGCCTCATTTGTAAAATGAGGTCTGCAGAGCACGTATTTTTTCCCCCAACAGTGCTGTCTGGGTCACTGCGTGACAAGGAGCACACAAGTGAGTAGAAACAGATCATGGTGTGGGAGGGGGGAGATGGGAGGAGGGAGGAGAGAGGAGATGGGCCAGGCAGAGTGGGCCCTGGGTATTGAAAGGAATCCGGAGACAGACCTTGAGTTTCAGCACTCAGCAGCCTCTTACAGCAGGACGGTTGGGCTGGGGGTTGATTTGCTGTTTGACAAAACAACAGGAGCTTCAGGTGACAAGGGGGCGGGGTGAGTGTACTCAAGGGCAAGTCAAAGGGAGAGGCGGGAGTGGATATTGACCTTCCGGGTACCAGTTGGTTAGACTTACCCAGTGGCAACTTTGTGAATTTCAGACGTTTTCCCCTTTGTCAGCTTCCAGGCACAGGTAGCTAAGCAAGCCGCACAGGTCAATTACAAAGGGAATGAGGGGAGAACGGGTGTATTTATCTTTCTCCTGTGGCCTGTGCTCTAGGCCCCAAGAAGGTGAAGGGAAATGAAAGGAAGGAGGAGATGCAGAGATGCCTGGAGGCAGGTACCAAGGCTTTGGAGGGACAGAAAGAGCCTAGACTGGCCCCAGGTGAAAAGCACGGGCCAACCCCATGTATTACAAGCATCACAGGGGCCCTGTACGGGGCTAAATCTCGGCCGAAATTGCAGATCGCTTTTGTTTCTCCTTGCCAGTACAGTCCAGGAAATATTTATCGAGGATGCCCATTATTCCAGTGAGTATGAAGAGGACCTGATTATCTCCGTCTTGATTTCGTTCTTTTCCTTGCCCCGCCCCCTTTCTATCCCCTCCCATTTTCCCCCAGCCCAGACTCCCGAGACTGTAAACTCCAGTCCCTCTCCTGGTGTAGCCTCTCTTTATTATAGCGGCAAATGCCCATAATTCCTGGGTCTCTGTGAAAGCCTTCTGGACTCCAAGCCGACTTCAGATCCGAACGGGGAGGTGGGCTTTCTCGTGGCAGCAGGAGATCGCTTCTCACTTCGGTTCCTGGTTTCTTGGCCCGATGACAGACCTCGTTCAGTGTAGAATGTGCCACCTGCAGTTTCCAGGAGAAAGGTGTTCCAGAGGCAGAGGAGTGTGCACTGCTACAGAAGATGAGGGTTGCGTGACTGGGAGGATTTTCAAGAGTAAGTTGGGGGAGGGGGGTGCGGGAAGCTGAACGGGACATAAGTGCCATGGAACAAAGCAGGGACCTTATTTTGCCCCAGGCAGCCCCAGCCCTGGGACGCTTGATCTCTCTACCCCTATCACAAGCCATAATGGAAAATAGATGGAGGAGGTCCTGAGGGGTGGGGATCTGTAGATATGGAACCAGTAATTCGAGAAGCCTGCAGAAAGCAGGGAGACTGGGTGGGGAGGAGAGGGGAGGCACAATATGGCCAGTGGAGACCAGGCGCTTGTTGGAGAGGGGAGGGCAGCTCCTCATCTGTCCCTGCCTGGACCTCCATGGGGTGGTTTTAAACTGTGAAGACAAAAGGACCAGTGTCAGCAACAGACATGAGCTAAATGGCCCTCTCGGTTTTCCTACAGTTCATGCTAAGCAAAACCCTGGCATTTATAACCCTGACTTAAACCAGTGTTAAGATTCTCCACTGAGACATCCAGTTTTGGAAATTCCTCCGTTACTGCTGTCATCACCTCCCCACCCCCAAGAACTTTTGCAAACTCTTCTGCCACTGCTTTCCTTCTGGGAAGTCCTCACCTGGCAACATCTTGCAGTTCTGCCTGTTTGGATAACAGAGACTTGAGCTACCCACAAGGCTGTTCTTGTCTGCTGGTACGGTCTGCCAAGAAGTTTCGTTGCAGAAGCCTTTTTGCTAACCTGTTTCTCTTTCCTCCCGCAGAAGATGGGACTCTGTGGTTAACCTTCATGGGCTGCCTGAAAAACTGTGCTAATGTGGACAAAATAAAATGGAGTGTCTACTTGGTGACGTTCAGGTGCTGCAGGGTCTCTGACTTTTGCAATGAAACCCTGTAGAGGTTGCATGTTCTCTGGGGGCTCCAACCTCTGGATGACATTATTGTCTCAGCCTCTTCCTGAGGATTTCCTGGAAAGCCACTGTTTCAGATCTCAAGTGCATCGTTCTGCCTTCTGCTTGTGTAAGAAAAAGTGCTCTTCTTTTCTAGATTTTCCATCTTGGTCCCTGGTGGTTGTTGGTGATGGAGTAGGGGGAAATGAAACACTTTGAGAGCAAGACCAGTGTCTCCTGCAGGTTCTTACAAAACCTAGTGCTTTCACTGTGTACCAAAGCTGCTTCAGAATAAGAAGACAAGAGATGTAAGCGTCTGACTCATGATTTTTAGTTCCAGTCAAGATCTCAGTGTGTTGAGATCAAACCCAGCCTTGGGCTCTGGGTTGGGTGTGGAGCCTGCTTAAGATTTTCTCTCTCCCTCTCCCTCTGCCCAGCCCCCATCACGTGCTCGCTCTTTCTCTCAAAAAAAAAAAAAAAAAAAAAAAAAGAAAGAAAGAAAGAAAGAAAAGAAAAAAGAAAAAGGATAAGACTGAGAATAGGTCAATTCTTTTCCTGGCTTTTCGCCTTCCTTCTACAGTAGGTTCTTTTCTTCTCCTTTCTTTTTTCTTTTTTTCCTTTTCTTTCTCTTTCATTTTTTCTTTCTTCCTTGTGTTTCTCTCTCTCAGTATTATCCTTCTTATCATACTTCCACTAAAGCCCATGACCCTGGCCTCTCAAGGAGGGAAGTAGCAAAATGAAAAGAGATAGCTTGGGTCTTCTTGAATTTTGTTCATGAATGCTATTCCCAGAGCGAGGAGAAGGGTAGAGTGTAGAAAAGAATTTGCATCAGGAATCCAGAAGAAAACAAGCTTTTCTGCCAGGAATGAGACTGTCTTTGAGGTTGGGGGGTCGGAGAAGAGGAGAGGGCATCTAGAGGGGTCTGGGGGTAGTAACTTGCACCCTGCTCGCCTGGCAACCTCACAGGAAGGCATCAACCCCTAGATATGGAAGAGCTGCAGGATACCGCCAAGGAGATGAGACCAGAAGCAGCCATATGGATATTCCCATGTGTCTAGCGTGGCATGGAAGAGGCTGGAATTGGTGGGTTCTGAGCAAGCCATGTGAGTCTGGTCACTGGATTTCTCAACAGTAACCTCTTTACAGAGCCGTGCCCATGAGCAGATTGCCCTTCCCCCCACCCCCCACTTCACGCACATTCAGGCTTTCTACCCTGTGTGGTTCTAGCGCCCTGGGAAAAATAGGAGTGGGAAGGAGCATGCTCACAGATGGAGACTGATTTCTACCAAACTGGTAGGAGGAGCCCTCTTTATTTGATTATGAAATATAAACTCATTTTCCTATTTCTGTTGAACTGATTATAATTTGTTACTGTCACACGCATTTTAATGTTTAGATTCGATCAGGAAGAGTCGCTTCAAGCTTGCTCCTGTCTCCTTTCAACATTCTTGATCCTTCTTGGAACATTTCCTTCTATCTGCCTCAGCCAAATATTCAGGCTCATTTTACACTTTCCCTCTAGGAAGCCCTGCTTCTTCTCAGTGGGAACGTTATTGAGAAGCCAAAATCGGGGTGCTAGGTATGCACGTGGCCACTGGCCACTTAGGGCTTCGCCACGGCGGAAATTGAAGAACACACATGTGGATGTACACACGCAAGTGTGCGCGTGCATGAGCAGCCCTCTCCCCACACATGCGCACTTCCATCTAGAATTGATTCTAGTTTTTCTTTTTTCTCTTCCCGTATCTATAAATCCTTTCTACAATACTGAGAAACTGGGCTCCTATTATCCTCAATACATTTCTTGTTTTGTTATTCCCCTCCGTACAAGACCAAACTCCCATTGCTACCACCTGCCTTGGACTCTAGCATCCCCCTTCCCCCACAGATACGCCAGTGTCATCCCCACATGCAGATACCCTTCTGGCAACTTTCAGGGGCCATATCCTTTTTTGGGTCACCACATACCCCACTTACATCTCAGCATTCCTTTCCAGCTTGCCACAGCTGTCCACCATACAAGTTGCCCTCTTCACACAGCTTGGACTCCAGTGACCAACACTAGACCAAGTGACACTTGCTCAGTCCACTCAGTCACCAACTGCCCATGTTCGCCCTCATCTACCACCACACCACTCTCCTCTCCTCTCCAGAGCAGACTCTGACAACCTGCACGACAGCACGTGGATGTCGTCCTCACCCATTTGGGCTTCCAACAGGCCACATTGCACCTCTACCCAGTAACCTCCATCATGGGGATCGATCTTGCTCAGCCCATCTAAAAAGCCATCTAAAATGGCTTTTAGACTGAATTCTTAAAGAAAGAAGCTGAACATTAAAAAAAAAAATCTTTTTCTGGGGCACCTGGGTGGCTCAGTCAGTTAAGTGTGGGACTCGGTTCCAGCTCAGGTCATGATCTCAGTGGGGAGTGTGCTAGAGAGTCTCTCCCTCTTCCCCTCCCTCCACTCGTGTGTGTGCACACGTGAGAACTCTCCCTCTCTCTCTCTCTCTCAGATAAATAAATCTTTAAGAAGGGTTTTCTATGCTGCTTTTTCATAGTTTCTATCATTTCCCTCATTTCTTTTAGTTCACTTTGAAATCTCACATTGAGTTTCTATCAATTTTGCAGCCGTCTTTTTCTGGCACCCTTCTGTTTTCTGTAAGTATGGTGTTCAGTGCACTTGTCTCATAACATTACATGGGGTTTATGTGCAGGTCTTTTATGTCATACATGTTTAAATTAAATGTGGTTTTCCAGGAAGATCCCTATATTGGGGTTGGCAGTGGACAGAGTCGGGAGGTGGGGAGGGCTTTCCTAGCTTCATCTCTTGAAGGCAGTAAAAGGGAAGTACTTAAAATTTTTCATCTCTCCAGAGCAACCTCTACAGTGATTTCCAAGTGTTGCTACCTGCTATTTCCCCTCCCACCAACATTCGAACTTTGTCTTAAAACCTTAGCATGGATTCCCGGGTCAATTTCGCTTCTACTGACTGTTCCTTTCTTCTTTGGAATGGGGAACTTTATGTTTGTGGGAGGAATTTCAGTGACGTATTTTCTACATGTCTGAGATCTTTGAGGGCTGAGGCCACCCGAGCAGATCTTGCTAGCAGATGGCACTTTGCTTTTGCTGTCCTAGCTATTCTGCCTTACTCATGAGAGGATTTGTAGAGGTTCATAAACCACGCTGCTGTCTCTCACTTGTCCCAACTGAAAGACCACAGTCCTACCTTGATAGTCCTAAGCAAAGATTTAAAATCAGCCCATGAAGTTTGAGGCAGGTGCTTTCAAGCTCCAGACTCACAGCCTTTTCCCAGTCGTGGGAAAAGAACACGCATTCTTCCAGAGGCTACTTCCTCTGCCTAAGGGCCAGTATCGGTCTGTGACAGAGCTATAACTATCCAAAGTGCCGAAAGGGAACAAATAATGTTTATGTTTCCAGTTTTTCTTTGTCGCTGTGAGCAGCACCTCCAGAATATATCAGGCAATCCGTACGTCTGTGTTGAATACTTACAGGGCACATTTAAAAATATGCAGCAGTCTTCTTAGAGCTCCGTCCATGGGAAAACATGAGATCAAACAGTGAGCCCAGGATCCTATAATATGTCCGTGTAGAGTATATCATATCTCTGTATGATGTTCCGGGGCCGGCCTCCTGGTATTTCAGTTCAATCAAGACTGGTGCAAAATTTGTGAGCAGAACAGAAGTTCTGTGGTGTGGTTTTCTGAGAGCTTGTCGATCATGAGCATGTTTCTATTGGGTTTCTAGGATTTTACACACATTTCTATGAAAGAAACCCTGTTTTCCTACGATGAATAATCCTCCAGATTTCTAGTTCCGTACAATTGGTTTGTCTTCCTTTGATCAATTTTTCCTGTCTCAGTCTGTCTCCAAGTAAGGAATCCAAGGAATCTTTGGCCAGAATAAGTGTTCTGGACTGGAATCTGGAACTAGGGTCCATGTTCAGAGTCTGTCTTTCCTCATGGTTTCTTCTGTGTCCTATCTTCCTCCCCACCCAACCACCACCATCAAATGCAAAGAACAGAGATGTACTCCACTTGGGCAAGAAAGTTAGGAGGTGATGGGGTATTGTAAATGGGGCAATAGGGGAGTCAGAATCTCCTGGAAATCCAAGATGGGAAACACAATAGGACGGGCTCCGAAAGATTGGACCTGGAGGGCCAGTCTGGGTATGACGAAGTGCTGGGGGCTTTGCCACAGTGTTTTATGAAACTTCACTTCACTTCACTCATTGTGCTAGTGAGTCTCCAGCTGCCTGTATAGTCTTCCTACTACTGGTTACCTTCTCCACCATCTCTATTGTTTCCCTTCTCTAATGTGAAGTTTCCAATTTTGACTGGTTTGGGACCATTCTAGGCACTAACCATACATCACAGTAATTCCCCTGAGAATCCCTTCATTGTTGGAAACCACTGCCAGCATCTCCATTCTATCCATATCAACGAATTAACCAGCCCTGAATGGGTGTGTATACCATATTTTCTACTTCTCAAGATGCTAAAGTATAATATGCCTGCTAATGTGACACAATTTGGGACAAGTCCCAGTATACGTATACTGCAAATATTTCAAAATTCATTTGTGTTTTAAAATGTTTTATTATGTCTATGCAAATACAATGTGGTAGAAAACAATAAGCATTTATAAGCCTGGATCCAGAGGGGAATTACTAAACCTGGGGTAATATTATATTTGTATACATAATTATTCAGCTAAAAAATAAATATAATCGTTTCTGTAGATTCTAATACATAGGAAGGCAAGTGGAGCAAAAGAAAAGTTTAACCTAAAGTGAGTGAACAATAATTTAGGGATTCATTTTTGTCATTTCAGAGCTTATTATTTTGGTTGGAACACTAGAGTGAAGTCTGAAACTTTTATCTCTCCTTGACATAATCTGTTGCAGGGTTGTGCCAATAAATACTCAGCTTTTTACCAATGAGTTCATTGAGTGCAAGGTAAAATTTAAATATTTTTCAGGACTGGGTG